CAAAGACACGCAGGTCATACAATAAATAAAGACAACTCCTATGGCTCCTGCCGGTTGCCATACTCATCGACATGCAAGTCGTGATTCCTATTACAAGAACATGATCAATCTCATACATCACATATCATTCATCACATTCTTCTTGGCCATATCACATCACATAGCATACCCTGCAAAAACAAGTTAGACGTCCTCTAATTGTTGTTTGCATGTTTTACATGGCTGCTATGGGTTTCTAGCAAGAACGTTTCTTACCTACGCAAAAACCACAACGTGATATGCCAATTGCTATTTACCCTTCATAAGGACCCTTTTCATCGAACTAAAGTGGGAGAGACAGACACCCGCTAGCCACCTTATGCAACTAGTGCATGTCAGTCGGTGGAACCAGTCTCAAGTAAGAGTATGTGTAAGGTCGGTCTGGGCCGCTTCATCCCACAATGCCGCCGAATCAAGATTGGACTAGTAATGGTAAGCATATTGAACAAAATCAACGCCCACAACTACTTTGTGTTCTACTCGTGCATAGAAACTACGCATAGACCTAGCTCATGATGCCACTGTTAGGGAACGTAGCAGAAATTCAAAAAAATTCCTACGTGTCACCAAGATCTATCTATGAAGAGACCAGCAACGAAGGGAAGGAGAGTGCATCTACATACCCTTGTAGATCGCTAAGCGGAAGCGTTCAAGAGAACGGGGTTGAAGGAGTCGTACTCGTCGTGATCCAAATCACCAGAGATCCTAGTGCCGAATGGACAGCACCTCCGCGTTCAACACACGTACAGCCCGATGACGTCTCCCATGCCTTGATCCAGCAAGGAGAGAAGGAGAGGTTGGGGAAGACTCCATTTGCTGGCTCCCATGCTGGCTCCCACATGCTCCACGATGATCTCATCGGATGAACCACGATGTCAAGGACTTAATCAATCCCGTATACAATTCCCTTTGTCTATCGGTACGATACTTGCCCGAGATTCGATCGTGGTATCCCGATACCTTGTTCAATCTCGTTACCGGCAAGTCTCTTTACTCGTTCCGTAACACATCATCCCGTGATCAACTCCTTGATCACATTGTGCACATTATGATGATGTCCTACCGAGTGGGCCCAGAGACACCTCTCCGTTTACACGGAGTGACAAATCCCAGTCTCGATTCGTGCCAACCCAACAGACACTTTCGGAGATACCTGTAGTGTACCTTTATAGCCACCCAGTTACGTTGTGACATTTGGCACACCCAAAGTATTCCTACTGTATCCGGGAGTTGCACAATCTCATGGTCTAAGGAAATGATACTTGACATTAGAAAAGCTTTAGCATACGAACTACACGATCTTTGTGCTAGGCTTAGGATTGGGTCTTGTCCATCACATCATTCTCCTAATGATGTGATCCCGTTATCAACGACATCCAATGTCCATGGTCAGGAAACCGTAACCATCTATTGATCAACGAGCTAGTCAACTAGAGGCTTACTAGGGACATGGTGTTGTCTATGTATCCACACATGTATCTGAGTTTCCTATCAATACAATTCTAGCATGGATAATAAATGATTATCATGAACAAGGAAATATAATAATAACCAATTTATTATTGCCTCTAGGGCATATTTCCAACATAAGTAAATGGAGGGAGTAGGTTAGGCTTAGGCTATGTGGGAAGGCGGTATGCCTTAGGAGAGGAGATGGTCTTCGTGCTTTGTTTCGAGGAGATTTATTGGCGAAAACATGGAGACAACAAAGGCTAGCCAATGTCAACTCAAATACTGCTTACTTTGATGCGATTGCTAATGGTCGCCAGTGGAGATCCTCCATCCATTTTCCTTTGCAATGGGGATGACACTATTGCTAACTCGGTCGCATTACAAAACCACATTTCTGTCAAATTATACAAGAGCTTCTAGCCTATGCTAAGAGTAGGTTTCCATCTGGGCGATGTGTTCAACAAGGGTCTCATTAATATCAAGTGTCTAAACTATGGAGGTGTTGATGTTGTTGGCCATGTTCCCAGAGGTGGAGTCTATTAGGAAACATATGCCCGTTGCCTTGATTAATGGCATCTTCAAGATACTTGTCAAGGGCTTTGATACGTCTCAAATGTATGTATATTTTTTTGAAGTATTCATGCTATATTGGCATCATTTACATAGGATTTTGGCACAATTTTATATTAATTTTTTTGTACTAACATACTAATCTAGTGCCAAGGTCAATTATTCTTTTAGTGATGCAGAGACAATTTTTTGGGTTGAAACAAAATATTAAAGAAACACTTGTACAATTCCGATTGAGGCTTGCTTCAGAAGGTAACTTGGTGTGGAAATTTCTGAACCACTTTTCAAATTTCATGATGATATCCCTTACGGAACTCCCGTGGTCCATTTTGTGGTGGTCGGGGCACAGATCCAGCGAACCAGAAAACTGTTCCCCCAAAGTCAGATACGATCTGAGGGAGGCATGGATTTTCCTTTTATTTATATCAACTGTACAACTATTTCCCCGATGCATGCAATAAAATCACATATGTAAAATTTGTGCTAGGGCAACTCATCGGTACAATGTAATTACATCATATGTACAAGTATTAACGTGCCCATTATATCATTGCTTAGACTGAGCAAGGACAACATAACATCTCCACCTTAGATACCTACTCCCTCTGTTCCGTAATATGTGGTCTATATATTTTGATTTCAGCCATACTTTGAGAGTTTGACCAAGTTTATAGAAGAAAATATGGACTTCTACAATACCAAATTAATATAAATACATCCATCATGAAAAAAAAATCCATAATATATTTAGTTGGTATCACGATTATGTTATCTTGTCTATAATTTAGTCAAACATTAAAAGGTTTGACCTAGGACAAAATCAATTGGGCTTATAATATGAAAGAGGCAGAATATCTTGGTGCTCACATAACTAAAAGGACTTTTGAAACAAAATTGTATAATTGATGCTGACATAAATAAAAAGAGCTTCTTTGTAAAAAAAATACTCTTACTGTTGTCCTAAACATGTATATTATCTTGCTAAAGAACTATATTCTTACTGTTGTCATAAAAGCTACTTCTAACCACAACCACCATTCAAAGTTAATGGTACCAATGCATACTTCGGGAGGTTGTCTTCTTTACATGTTTTCTAGTAGGTTACTAAAGAGGAAAATGTTTCCTTCAATCATAGTCCTCTCATATCTTTTCTAATCGCAAAATGTACAACTACGGGTGACTTCTTCCACCGACTTCTGCTCAAAGTTAAACATTATCGTCAAAGAGGTATCTTTCCCAATCTTAACTTGTATGGTTTGAAGTGGCGTCTGTCTAGGGCACATCTAGATGTGCCCTAGTTATTGCACATCTGAGTGACTCAATCAAACTCGAATGTAAAATAAAAAAGACAAAAGAAAATGCTTGCACGAATCTTAACATAAATTTAATGACATAGGACTTAGATGTGCTATACTTAGAGCATATCTAGACGTGCTTTAGCAAAACTGATAACTTATTTGTAATTTGCCTACCAGCCTTGTGGATAGATTTAAGATAAATGCATTTTATAGAGCTAAAAATAGCAAGAAACAAGAGTTTTATGACCTTAACAGATTTACCATAATGAGTTGTTAAAATAATCTTGTCCCACATGTAGGATTTTTCTTACGTTGTCCTTCTATCCGTACAATAAAGGATTTCTCTTTGTTATTATAAGTCATATGAAAGCAGGAGATTCTTCATAAATAAACATAGTCATATGCTAGAGTCACATGGATGCGTATCTGTCTGAGTTAGCTTATTTTGAATCATGAACATGATGGTGGTTGTCTAAATTAGAGATACCTTTTGTCGTGGATGACAAAGCAAAAAATACTTATATGATTTTAATCATAGATTTTTTATTTACACAAGGAGTCTAGGACTAACAACCTTTTATATCTAGTTTGAATGATTGTGCTACTTTATGAGTTTCGGTGTTTTTTCTTTTTTTATACCAAATAGCTTGATTTACAATGTCTTGTTTTCTCCCACTTTAGAAGTTCACATGTGTGTAAAATACAAGCACTTTGGTATAATATTCCAATAATATAAAATATAGGGTGTGTTACATATTTACATGGAGTCATTCTTGAAAACTCAATGTACCTCACAAGTTTATATTTAAGCAATGAATGTTCCAGAGAAATAAACTAGAGAGGATCCTGCTTATGTCATGCTATTGTTATGGATATTGCCTCGATGCTTTTGGACCAAAATATATGGTAGAGAGTGATTCTACGCAATGCATTCCAAAATTATTTTTCCTGTATATACATTTCTAGAACACCACAATGATTCCGTATTTAGTGTGTTTTAGCTTTTATTATGTATTCCCATTATATAATTTTGGTTTACTAGCACCATATTGTGCTAGAGTAGAGTTTCTAATGCTGTGAGTGATGGCGCTAACAATCAAATTCCATCTACTCCCTCTGGCTTCAGAAACGATATTATATTATGAAACGGAGGGAGTAGTTTGTTGCGAACTTTTTTAGCACAACATCCAACTATTTTAGATTTCACTTTTATTATGTCCACAATAATAAATTCAACTATAGATGTTGCCCGTGCATTTGCGCGGGCCACTTTTTTAGTTGGATGAAAATCAGAAGGTTGTTGCCGAAAAAATACGAGGAACTTTTTTTCTATCTAGAACTATATATTATTTTTATTTTTTCCGGATATAAAACTATATATATTGTTTTGAAGGCTGTACAGAGACTGTGTCTTTTTAATTTTATGTACTGCTCCCTTGAGTTAAAGTCCTTTTTCCGGTGAAGGAACAAAGTGGTAAAGAACTACATATGTATGCATGCATGTGAGGTTATCATGCCAAGCACTCAAGAGAACCTTCGCATGCACCGTACTCACTGTGTGGTGCTTACATATATATGTACGCGCGCCCCCAGGAAGCAGCTAAGCTGAGCTAGTTAGCAAGAGCGCAAGTCGATATCAAGATGGGCTTCTTGCACTTGAATACCAGTAATGACATTTTGCACAGTTGCGCGGCACACGACCTCACAGATTTTAAAAACACCATTTTCTACAACCTCACCGACTCCTACGTCGCCCAGTTCAACCACACCACCACCTTGCTCACCTCCATCATCATGTTCGTCCTCGCAGCGCTCTTCTTCAACCTCAACCTCTTCAGTAGGCTCTCCGACGTCAGCGCCATCCTCGACCCCAGCGTCCGCCTCTTCATCACCTCCGCGCTCTCCCTCTTCCTCCCCGTCATGTCCTACCTCTTCTCCGAGGCCAGGAACGCCACCGGCGGTGCCCGCTCCAAGTTCACCGACGAGTTGCCCCTGCGAGCCCGGCTCATCCTCATCTGGATGCTCCTTGTGGAGCTCCTCCGCAAGAAGGCCGAGGAGATCCACATGCAGGGTTACTCCGGCACCATGGACCGTGTGGGGCGTGTCCTCTTGCTGGGGAGCTTTGTCTTCTTCCACCTGCATGATGCTGGCAAGCGGTCCATGCTGGGCATCCTCTGGCTTCTCTGTGCCACAAGGCTTGTACAGAGGATCGTCTTCACCGAGGTCGGGAAACGCTCCCTTGCCTACGGTGTAGGCAAGAATGCTCGGCTCATCACCTCCTACATGGCTCAAGTGCTCGAAGAAGATCAAATGGAGCACCGTCACCATTGCCTGGATGGAGACGAGCTACTCAGGGGGTGCAAGTACGCGGTGATGGAAGAAGAGAATCTGGTGGTTCAGGCCAGCCCGGATGGCTACCGCCTAACCAGCGACGCCGCCGCCGTCACCGTGGGCAAGATCTGGGGGCTTGCCGAGATCTCTTCCCTGGACGGAGATAAACGTCTGAGGCAGCTCTGCCTCTCCTTTGCACTCTTCAAGCTGCTGCGCCGGAGGTTCGAGCGCCTGCCGGCAATGACCGCGGCGGAGACCCGCAGCTACCGGGAACTCATCTTCAAAGGTATGCGCAGCAACATAGAGAAAGAGACAGCAGAGGCAAACACGGGCATGGCGGAGGCCCTGTTCCGGCTGACCAACGACGAGCTCAGCTTCCTATGCGAGTATTACCACCCGGTTGTCCCCGTCGTCCTGGCAAGTCCCTTCTTCCTGCTCGCCAACTACTTGCTGCTCCCGCTGCTCATCTTGGTCCTCTGCCTCGTACTCATCGTCCTCTGCACCAACGGCGACGTCGGCTACGCCCGGGACAGCATCAAGGACGACAACTACTTTACTTTCTTCAGCGTAACGTACCACTATGATGACCGGGTGCCTGCCTAAAATCTTTACTTCCCGCTTAGTTTTCTTCTCCTTCTTGGACTTCTCCATCACCTCGCTCCTATTCCTCATGGTTGTCTACGAGGAAGTGTGGGAGTTCCTCGTCCTCGTGCTCTCCGACTGGTTCATGGTGTCACTGCTCTGCAAGTACGCTGTGAAACCCGACGGGCGCCTTGGCCACGTCTTCCGTTGGGCCATCCACGGCATCACGGGGATGCGAAGCGCAATGCATCGCCCACACATTAGCTTCAACCAGCTATGTGTCGTGAGGTTTTGCTGGCTAGCAATGCCGTTTTCGTTCTCGCTCTCTTCGAGGTGGAGCATTCTACATCTTCTGATGATCATGCTCAGGCTCAGAGCCTGTCCAAGTACTGCGCTTACCTGGTGGCCATCCACCCGGAGCTGCTCCCCGAATACCAGGAGAGCACGGAGCTCGTGTTCAAGGACATGATGCTCGAGCTGAGTCGCGTTCTCGGGTTCTGGCGCTGCTACTTCTCGACGTGTGTCAACACCCGGTACAACAAGATCATGGGTGCCGCAAAGAAGCCGAGCAGCACCCCAAGAAATGTGGTGAAAAGAGGCGCGGAGTTAGCGCACAAGTTGGTGAATAAAGCCCAGAATGCCCAGGATTCTGCTCGTCGTCTACGTCGCGCCATCCAGCGACGATGGTTGTATAATGGGGCACGAGAAACTACTAGTCAAGGGTGGCGAGTTCATCACCATGATCTGGACGCTCGCCTCGCACGCTGGCATAAGCCGTCCAGCCGATATACCACGGGCGGACGTCGCAATCGAACGTGTGACTGATGTTATTGTATAGATTACCAGGAGCTCTGGATCGGTCTGTGTCTATTTTAGTGTGGTGGTACGTGTGCATGAAGTGTGCTGTGCCGCTTGCCATGTGTGTGTGATGTTCTTTTGTCTTTTTTGAGTTTTATGTGTGAGAGCATCACAAACGGTTTGGGGTTTCATTTTCTTGAGTCGGCGGTGATGCTTGTACTGTCGTTGACATGGCCAGGGGCAGAGACGAAGAAGAAAACACAATAATGAAGCAACACGCACAAGGGACGCGAATTTGGTGCTCCTATATGCGCCAAATAATTTAGATATAGAGAAAAGGTCAAAAATAATCGAATCTTAGTTGTAATCAGATATGATCAACCATTGTACTCTGGTAAAAAGTTTGGCCAAAAAATTATTGCCATAGACTTCAGGGCACAAAAAAAACCCGGCAATGCTACACGTACAAACAGTTTACAGGCTTTTACAGGTGGGTTAGTTTTTATTGGTCAACAAGTGAG